ATCAGGGAAGGGGAACAGACAAGTTGCTGTCCAAAATTTTGTTCTTCAGTCTACTTGTGGAGGACGTCGCTTCACTGGCCCATGTTGGTATTGTGATCACTGTGCTCTTCCCTGGTGAGGCAGTCGCTTGCCAGCCATTGGACAGCCGCTCATGGCAGCTCACAAAAGCTCATGCCCACTGCCTTCCAGTCCCACTGCAGCTTACGCCATTGCCGGTGACTCACGGCAGCTGACTGCAGCTGGGGCGGCAGCCCACGCGGTGGCCAGCGACTCACGGCAGCCCAGCTCCAGGTCGAGCTGATGTTCACCATCTTAGCTGTAGAGGGCGCAGCGTCACTGGCCCTCATGTGGGATCTGAACTGGGGCCCTGTTGCTCAGAGCTGGTGTCCCATGCCAACTCCTAACCAACGCACGACTCAGCCAGCCCTGTTTTGTTTTGTAGCTTCCAGATATAAGTGAAATCATTTGGTATTTGTCTTTCTCAGTCTGACTTACTTCACTTAGCATAACACCCCCTAGGTCCATCCATATTGCTGGAAATGTAAAATTTCATTCCTTTTTATGGCTGAGTAATATTCCATTATATATAGAACATATATCTTTTTGAATTAGTGTTTTTGTATTCTTCAAACAGATACCCAAGTGGAATAGTTGAGTCATGTTGTAGTTTTACCCTAATTTTTTGAGGAATCTCCATGCTGTTTTCCTCAGTGGCTGCACCAGCTTGCAAACCCACCACAAGGTTCCCTTTTCTCCAAAGCCTCTACAACACTTGTTATTTCTTGTCTTTTTGATCATAGCCATCCTAACAGATGTGAGGTGATATCTCATTGTGGTTTTGATTTGTATTTCTCTAATAATTAGCGATGTTGAACATTTTTTCACTTCCCTGTTGGCCATCTGTGTGTCTTCTTTGGAGAAATGTCTATTCAAATTCTCTGCCCATTTTTAAATCAGGTTGTTTGGTTTTCTGTTGCTGAGTTGTGTGAGTTCTTTATATATATTTTTGGTATTAACCCCTTCTCAGATATATGGTTTGTAAATATTTTCTCTCATTTAGAAGGTTGCCTTTTGTTGTAATGATGGTTTCGTTTGCGGTGCAGAAGCTTTTTAACTTTGATATAGTGCCATTTGTTTATTTTTGCTTGTTTCCCTTGCCTTTGGAGTCAGATCCGCAAAACATCACTAAGACCGACGTCAAGGAACTTACTGCCTAGGTTTTCTTCTAGGAATTTTATGGCTTCAGGTCTTACATTTACATCTTTAATCCATTAACTTTTGTGTATGATGGGAACTAATGGTTTTGTTTCATTCTTTTGCATGTGGCTGTCTGGTTTTCCCAGAACCATTTATTGAAGAGACTATTCTTTCTCCATTGTATATTCTTGGCTCCTTTGTTGTAGATTAATTGTCCATATCTGTGTGGATTTATTTCTGGGATCTCAATTCTGTTTCACTGCTGTGTGCGTCTGTTTTTTTTGCCAGATTTGATTACTATAGCTTTGTAGTATAGTTTTAAGTCAGGGAGCTAGATACCTCCAGCTTTGGTTTTCTTTCTAAGGATTGCTTTTCGTATTTGGGATCTTTTATGGTTCCATATAAATTTAGAATTATTTGTTCTAGTTCTATGAAATATACCATTGGAATTTTGATAGGGATTGCACTGAATCTGTAGATTGCTTTGGGTATGACAAACTCTTAATTTCAATAGTAATTATGTTTGTAGTATGACAGTTTAAAAATAACTTAAAATTAGGGGCAGAGAGGAATGGATTTTGGACGGGAGTCTACCATCGTCACAGAATGCTGACATTTTGAAAAAACCTGCTTTTCTTTCCACCAAAAACATCCGCAAAAAAACAAAATAGCAAAGTTAAAATCTTGAACTGATACTAGGTTACTTAATAATCATCATATACCTAGATGGCGTCTAAGTAAGATAGAACACTGGATCATTGATTACTAATCATGATTTTAAATTAATACATTTTTGTTTTTTAGTTAATATATTTTGCTTCTTTTTAAAACATATACTATAGAGAGGCTATATCTTTGGGTCATGTTAATGAATGTGTTTTTTCATCTTTGCTACATTAAGAAGGTATAAAAGGAATGAGTGTGACTGTAGAAAGTTGCATTCTGTGTGTTTATGAACTTTGCTAGTCTGCTAACCTGCTTACATATGATTTCACAAAGATCTATATGCCCTAGTTTTTGCTGTGAAATAGAAATTAGTGTTTCCTTAAATGTTATAATGAATATGGGTGATTAAAATTATGCTATGGGTAATAATGACAGAAGTATAATTAATGTGTGTGATTCCATTTTTCAAGGAAAATTAATATTGTTAAAAAAAGTTCAGTTCTCAAAATGTTTGTTCTTAGGACCCTTTACATTTTCTTAAATTAAAATTTATTAAGGATACCCTATAGCTTTTGTTTATGTGAGTTATATCTATCCATTATTACTGTATGAGAAACTAAAACTAAGAAATTAAAAAATGTTTATTTGTGGGTTAATTTGTATATAGCAACGATGAAGCCATTTCATATTAACATAAGTAATTTACTTTTTATGCACTGTTTTATAATTTTGAAAATCTCTAATGTCTGGCTTAATAGAAGTGAGTTGGATTCTCTTATTTGCTTCTGCATTCCGTCTGATCAGCTATCACACATCATGAAGCCACTAGAAAAACTCACTGTACACTCATGAGAGAAGGAGAATAAAAAAGCCAAATAAATAAAGTTTTATTATGAAAATAGTTTTGTGACCTCACAGACTACAGGAAATCCACTTAAAGGATTTCAGGGACCCTCGTGGGTCTGGGGACCACTCTTGGTTCTAAAGTAAAGTGTAAGTTTGTTCAAAAATATAAAAGAGCATAATAAGGGACAAAACTTTGAAAATGACTTTTATTTTCCTTGGTTTCAAATAACTATGTCTGAAATGAAGCTGAGAAATATATGAAAATTATAGGAAGTTCACTCAGGTTTGATGAGCTTATTTCTTTGGTTACTGATCAATGCTTTCTTATAATACGAAAGGTTATTTTTGTGTGTATAATCTGCCTTTTTGTGCTTTATGTTTGCTTTACTGTGTCTTTAATTATTTAAGGCAATAATAGAGCAAAGAACAAAGTTTATGAATGAGCCAAGATTATTTACAATCATGTTACTTTCTATGCTTGTTTTAAAATATTTTATTGTTGCTTTAAAAAATTAGGTAACCAAGTACTGTTTCTCAGATACCCATGATCCTATCTTAATCAGGTGTCCAATTCTTTTTTGACAAGTCTTTTGATTTTGCCTTCTAAAGATCAGACCTAAAGAAAAAAAAAATCAATTTCGGAATATCTTTTATACCTAAAACTATCTTTGAAATTTCCTAGGTCTCTAGAAAATCACAAAGGCTTGTTCTTTCATCTTATAAAAAGAGATGTTAGAAATAATCAGGCTTGTTTGATACGTTGCCATTGTAACAGTTGCAGTCATATCTGAGAAGAGCTGCTCAGTGTGCCCTAAGGTTAGATTCGTACAGGTAAAATGTTACTAATAGAACTATTTCAGAAGCTGTATGCTTTATGGGAAATGCCTAGAGATTTGACAATACTGTTGCTGTCTATAATATGTTTTTATCATCAGGGAAAACAGTGATAAAAATTTTTATGAAACAGTTACATAATGTATCCCAATGGAGAATTTTACTTATCTTCTATTTTGATAGTACTGATTATGGTAATAAATTAAGCACAGCCATTAAGTATCTGTCATCTATGGCAATTTTTAGTTTTACTCTCATGCTTGCATGAAGGCTCAGCTATAAGCTACAGTCAATAGCTTGTGTCTGCAGCAAAGATTCGGAGCACTCGGGAGGAGGGCTGTCACAGGTACTCGGAACTACTGTCACTTGAAAGAACAGGCTCCTTGGGAACAAGCTTCTGGGGTGACACAGCTTAGATAACTTTTATACAGTACCAGTGGACTGTGTCAGAAATCCTAGGACTTTACAATGGAAGCAGATGGCTTTTTGAAAGCAGACTGCTAACCCAAGATCTAGCATAACAAGAAGGGCACAGGGCTGAATGAAATGATAAGGAATATTTTATTGCATTTATTTGTATGAAATATTGTTGATTAGTTTTAATATTCTATTGCTGTATAACTCTAGATTTGCAAAACAAACTCCAGAAGACCTCTGTGGCTAACTACCACTCTTGCTGCTAAATAATCAGGGCAAGCCTATGAGACAGGCCTTTTTGTGTGATCAATAATTACCTTCGTGATTATTTTGATCACATGAAGTGGGGGAGACACTCTAAGGAAAAATTGAGAGACTCTTAAGTAGAAAAAAAAATAAATAAAATTTACTGGGTGTCCAGTCTAAGTGTATACTTCTCGGTTATCTGCACCTTTCATTGTTTTTGAGTTATTTGAGCTATTTTACAATTCTGCAGGTTGTAGAAAATTTACAGAAATGAATACAATTCTTTAGTTTTCAGGGCAAAAAGCAGGTACGGTTTACCTGAAACTTTCAGTGTTGTATAAAAATGAAAACTCTTTGAAAAGTCTAAGCAGGGCAGGGAGAGGTGGAGATGGGGAGTGATTTTGAGGGAAGCAACTGTGGAAGTCATTTGTGTTTGGCTGAGAAGATAGAGGTCTGTGAGTCCCACAAGCAGCAGAGACCCATTCCCCCTGCCCAGGCTACCAGCGTCCCCCTGATCCCAGTGGTGCTAACATGACCCAAAGGATCAAAGGCCTGAGATCTAATGGCACTATAAGGACATTTAGANCTCACTGGAGAAAATTATTCACTTTAGAAGCCGTGGAATAATGTGGAGGGGAATAAAGGGACCCTTTCTCTTCCATTTTCCACCATGAAGGGGAGATTATAACTGCATTCTTCCCTCACAACGAATATAAAATTCTAGATGTTTCTAGATCATATCCTTAATTGGTATTAGGCTTCCATTTTGGCTCCTGGTGATTAGGAAACATTACCCTGGCTTTGATGATAGTTGGCCGAGGATCCAAGATGCCCTGCATCTTTCTCAGAGCAGGCACAACAAAGAGGTTGCAGGTGACCACGGCGGACACGGGATTCCCTGAAAGTCAACCAAGCAGTTACTTACAGTACACACATAAACATTTGCCAAATAATGATGACTGTCTATGCCTTCAGGTGTCACAGAGAGTGACATGACTGCTAGTGTTCCTCTTCTGAATCTCCTTGAATCTAAAAGGATGCCAGAATAGACCTACAGTCAACCAAATTCCAGGGGATGCAAACATTCGCATCTACCAGTGAAACAGAGAGACATCTGATGCCCAGACACTGTTTAACACCATTTATTTCTGCTTTTCTGAGAACTATACACGGAAAGCCATTACCAATCTTGATAAGTTTTAAAGCGGTTTCTATTTGCTATTTTAAAATTTCCATAGTAATACATGCTCAGTATAAAATAATTGAAAGTAGAATAAGCATAAAAATATTTATCCATAATCCCCTCTACTAGACATTTCTTTATGGTTAAAAAATAAAGCTAAATGATTTAAGATGTGAAGGACTTGAAGATAAAGACTGTATGGATCGAATTGTGCTGCTCCTATACCCATTTGCTGAAGTCTTAACCTCCAATGTGACTGTATTTGGAGACAGGGCCTTTAGAGAGGTAAATAAAATTAACTGAGGTCATAAGGGTGAGACCCTAATCCAATAGGGCTGGTGTCCTTATAAAAAGAGTGTGTGTGCACAGAAGAAAGGCCATGTGAGGGCATAGCGAAAAGGTGGCCATCTGTAAGCCAGGCAGGAAAACTTCAATGGAAATCAAGCTTGCTACCATCTAGCTCTTAGACTTTCAGTCTTCAGAACTGTGAGAAAGTGATCCTGTCATCTAGTCTGTGATATTCTGTTATGGCAGCCTGAGCAGACTGATACAAATATCAAGTTTTTTTTTAAATTATAAGAAAAATTTGAGAAATTCAATTTTACCTCTCCAAGAAGAAATCAGGGTGTGACACGCACTTCAAAGAGAGGAAAGGTAGGTTGTGAAAAAAAAAAATGGCTGGGCTGAGAATAACAGATGTAGTTTCTTGTGTGATACGTTAACTAACCAAGCTGTGACCCTAGTGAGTTCCAAACCTTTTTGAGTCTAATTTAACTGATCCACAAAATGAAAGGTTGGACTATATAATTCTCAATATCCTTTCTGGTTCTAAAGTTCTAATTTTATTAATACTTTTATACAGTTGTGAGTATGTATGTATATACTGGGGGTAGATGATGGGCTATTGGAATTCCAGGTTCCCTTGGGCTGGCTATGTAATTCCATCATCAAAGTAAAAGGTAATGGTCATTTTGGCATATTACTGCCTAAAACCATACCTTTAATTTTCTTCTACCCACAAAGGTAGTTAAGAGTAGATTTGTTTTCAGTTGTAAGAAGAGATTATTGATGCTTAGCATCTCAACAGAAAAATAAGTTGTCCAACAGAACAGCAGACTCTTAATAAGAATCAATTGCTTTTCCCTTGTCTCAAGATACAAATACATGTAAACTTTCCTGGAAAAAAACCAAAGCTATTGTTCATTCAACTGTGATTACAGAATTTCTGCAATTGCTACTGCTTTATAAAATTACTCTTTAAAAAATGTAATCTCTCAAAAAAAAAAGTATTGGAAGGACTGAATCCAAAAAATTGCAAACAGTGGGAAGGGGATTCTGGTTAACATTTCTTAATGCTTATCTGTATTTTCTAATGTTTTAAAGTGAACATGTGTCACTATAGTAATTTAAAAAAAGTTACAAAAATAGCAAGTAGATACACAAAACTTTTAAACTGAAAACTTATCAAGATTAGTAATGACTTTAAATGCATGGCCATCAGGAAAGCAGAAATACCATTTTGAATTTTAAAATCTTTGTAAAAGATTTTTGCTAGTTTTACAATCTGAGTATGTGAGTTTTTGCTGCCCTCTTTTGGTTCATTCAGGCTGAGCAGAGAAAATTTCAAATTAAAGTAGAAATTTGAATATAGGTTATTTAATTATGACTTTTTGGGATAGCAGCGATCCTTCCTTAGTGATCGTGAAATGGGCTCTCACTGTAACATTCTTTGTTATGCTACCACTGATGATCTGTAGGTCAAATCATATCTTCTGTAGACAAAGTAAATAGTGCCTTTTAGGGACATTAAAGCTAGAAAGAGGATCACATTTCTTTATATAATGGTTTTTAGAACATCTAAAGATATATTAAAGGCCCTAAGAGTTCTATACTTATAGATCCATTTTGAGGACTACTTTACATGTCCTTTCTCTTAAAATTTCCTATATAACTGAAATCTAATCTCTCTTATGCTTATAGATAGGGGCTTTAAACTCTTTCAAAGTTCCACATATTCTGCTTCCTTTATATCTCTTGAGA